AGAGACTTACTTTGTTGGCTTTTTACTGTAAATTCAATAATATGAAAAAATTCAATCAGTCACTCGTCTCCATTAAACATGATGAGATAAGGATACTATCTGAGTTAATTAAGCTGACATTTCCTTCACCCAGCCCACCACCTTAAAAAACAACTGCACATAGCCACCCCTCCATATAAAATATTACCTGAGGGTAAGGTCAGGGCAGGACCCTGAGGGCAGCCATTGGGATGGGTGCATGGTCAGGGAGGATAAATGAATTAGAGAAAGAATTTATAAGACCTGTATGCCCCCATTGAGAAATTCTCAGAGGGGAGAGGGAAGGCCATTACAGATATCCTTGAGAGAGAGAGAAATAGAAATTTTCCAAAGAGGGAGAATAGAGGGAAGGCCATTACAGATATCCTTGAGACAGACAGGCAAAGATATTCTCAAAAGAGGGAGAACTGAGGGAAGGCCATTACAGATATCCTTGAGAGAGACAGAAAAAGAAATTTTCCAAAGAGGGAGAACTGAGGGAAGGCCATTACAGATATCCTTGAGAGAGACAGAAAAAGAAATTTTCCAAAGAGGGAGAACAGAGGGAAGGCCATTAGATATCCTTGAGAGAGACAGGAAAAGATATTCTCAAAAGAGGGAGATCTGAGGGAAGGCCATTACAGATATCCTTGAGAGAGACAGGCAAAGAAATTTTCCAAAGAGGGAGAACAGTGGGAAGGCCATTAGATATCCTTGAGAGAGACAGGAAAAGATATTCTCAAAAGAGGGAGAACTGAGGAAAGGCCATTACAGATATCCTTGAGAGAGACAGGAAAAGAAATTCTCAAAAGAGGGAGATCTGAGGGAAGGCCATTACAGATATCATTGAGAGAGACAGGAAAAGAAATTCTAAAAAGAAGGAGAATTGAGGAAGGAGGGAAGGCCATTACAGATATCATTGAGAGAGACAGGAAAAGAAATTTTCCAAAGAGGGAGAACAGTGGGAAGGCCATTAGATATCCTTGAGAGAGACAGGAAAAGATATTCTCAAAAGAGGGAGAACTGAGGAAGGAGGGAAGGTCATTACAGATATCCTTGAGAGAGACAGGAAAAGATATTTTCCAAAGGGGGAGAACAGGGGAGAACAGTGGAAAGGCCATTACAGATATCCTTGAGAGAGACAGGAAAAGAAATTCTCAAAAGAGGGAGAATAGAGGGAAGGCCATTACAGATATCCTTGAGACAGACAGGCAAAGATATTCTAAAAAGAAGGAGAATTGAGGAAGGAGGGAAGGTCATTACAGATATCCTTGAGAGAGACAGAAAAAGAAATTCTCAAAAGAGGGAGAATTGAGGGAAGGCCATTACAGATATCCTTGAGAGAGACAGGAAAAGAAATTCTAAAAAGAGGGAGAACTGAGGGAAGAGGGAAGGCCATTACAGATATCCTTGAGAGAGACAGGAAAAGAAATTCTAAAAAGAGGGAGAACTGAGGGAAGAGGGAAGGCCATTACAGATATCCTTGAGAGAGACAGGAAAAGAAATTTTCCAAAGAGGGAGAACACACATCACCAAAATAAAGAGTTAATTACATATTAATACATAGGGCATCTTGTAATGATCACTACAATGTTGCAACAAACTGCAAGATGTATATATTATAATTCTGTCTGGCACATTAGCAAAAGCTGCAATACATAAATTGTATAAAGCATTCTGACTGGAGGGTTGAAGTGAACAACTGTATATCAACATTAAACACACAGTACTGTTATCACACCACACAGCACTCCACCCAGCTACCACTAGTAAAGCTCTCAGAAGACAATGATCAACCGAAATATACGACTTACAGATATCTGTAACATGACACCAATACATAGAGTGACGGGAAAAATCCAAATATAAAACATGAAAGTCATAATTACACCAATCACATGAAGCATTAACTGATTACCGTTAAGAAAGCACAAGAAATTTACAAAATATCTCAAGATTGGAAGTTGAACAAATGTAATTTTTCCATGAAATAACAAGATTTGAAAAAAAAGTATGAAAAAACATTATTCAACAGTTTTTACAAAATTCCCATGAAAGACAACCATTGAAGGTTTTACAAGCACATTTCATGACAAAAGCATGGTGTGATGATGGAAGGTTTTATAGATTGTTTTCGAGGCAAAAGACAGAGAAAACCAGCTCCACTTTCTCAGGCTCTAGCCTGTATCAGGGTGTATTAAGATATAGTCCCATTAAATAGACCACTTTTCAACTCATGGATCCTTGGAAATCTGAGGAGAAGAAAAACGTGTCTGTATTACCATGATGTATTTACTCAAATGATCTTTTTCTCCTACAAAAAGATATTTCTACACTATGATGATCTACACTTGTCACTTTAAACCCTCAGTCAGTTAAATACAATTTAGAAATATCTGTTACTTCTTTCTACATTAATGTATATCTTACTATCACAATTATTTATTGGGTTAACTACCCCATGAACAGCCAGGGTTATTCTGAGGCAGGGTATCCTTGTAGTAGTATTTGGCTAGTACCTCACTGAACAACATACAGGAGGTCCATCACATTGTAGGAAGGGGCTGGGGTGGGACAGGAGGGTGAAGGGCCTTAAATTTAAATGAAATGCTATTTGTAAGAACCCATACTGAATGAAAATAAAAATGTGTGAAATTAATGGCAGACTGGGTCTATTACTAGAGAAGTACGAAAATATGTGAACTCAACGACTTGATGGAGGATGTGAGTGGAACAATGTATTTAATCAAACTTGTCAAATAGAAATAGTAAGTAAGCCAAACTGTACTTCTTCAATACTGCATTGTTACTAGAAAAATTGTAAAAGATCTCTGGACTAATATAGAGGCATCTAAAAGAAACTACCATATGCAGACACTTTATTAGTGTGTGTAGTCACAAAGCTATTTTAGCCGAGTGAAAAAAAAATTCTGTTATAGTGGAGAGTAAGTTTCTGAATTAGAACCTGATTTATAATACTATATATTATAATTACCTTACATTTCCTGTTAAATAACTAGGATGGAAACAGGTAATGCTGGTAACCTTCCTACTTCAATCACTAACCTAATTTTTTAATGGTATATAAGTATATTTTTTTTTCATTATTTCACAATATACCAGAATATGTTTCAGCATGATTTAATTAATATATTCTGTTATTTGCTATGTTTCAAATTTGAAAAATGTGATCCAACGTGAAAACCCACCATGAAAACAAAAATAAAATAATAAATTGACTATAGGATTGAAATAATTCTTCACATTAAAGTATATACCAATAGAGTGTCATCATCACAATTTGTGATAGAATAGAATAAAGGACATCATGATATTATAGTCACTACCACACAAAACATAGATTACAACTTAACACTAAAAACTTAACTACAGAAGAAATGTTTCCAGGATATGTAACAGTGGACATCCTGAAATGTTTCCAGGATGTGTTACAGTGGACATCCTGAAATGTTTCCAGGATGTGTAACAGTGGACATCCTGAAATGTTTCCAGGATGTGTAAACAGTGGACATCCTGAAATGTTTCCAGGATGTGTAACAGTGGACATCCTGAAATGTTTCCAGGATATGTATCAGTGGACATTCTGAAATGTTTCCAGGATGTGTAAACAGTGGACATCCTGAAATGTTTCCAGGATGTGTAACAGTGGACATCCTGAAATGTTTCCAGGATGTGTAAACAGTGGACATCCTGAAATGTTTCCAGGATGTGTAACAGTGGACATCCTGAAATGTTTCCAGGATGCGTAACAGTGGACATCCCGAAATGTTTCCAAGGAATCATTTTAGTGGTCAAATAAGTACTGCTTTAACTTTAGCCATTAATTTCACTAAACCTTGATTTGACTAGGATTCAAACTTATTTATTACTAATCTGATGCTTAACCCATCAAGCTATTTGTGAGTTTCCCTGGGGTTACAGCTATGCTTATGGGGCATGGCTAAGTATTAATCAGGAGTCCCTACATGAACGCCAATGTAAGAGAGGTCATTATCTTCACTTAATACCTCCATTAAGATTTGAACCCAGAACCTCTGGCTTACTGGTCTGTCAATCAATCGATCAAGGTAAAATTCTTTCTAGCTGAGAGGTATATTGTGGCTAATATTTACCAGGGTTACATATAGGTAACACAAAAATAATCATGACCAATTACACAAGCTACAAAATTACAGATGTACTTAAAACACTAGGAATTATATTTGTGTTTTTTCAAGGGAGAGAATTCAATCAATTTGTTTTGTATGGGAGATAACTTAAAACCCAAATATTGCAATTCAGCTGTAATCAACTGCTGCATAAAAATGTCTTCCTGCAAAAAATGTGATCAATGAAGAAGAAAACATTTTCAAATGTAAAAAATGACAGAATGACTTATGATCAAGTCTACACAATATATACTGTTCAATAGCTGTGGAAGAGGAGTTTATTAGGAGTTAGTCTGAAGGGAAGACAGAAGTTAAAAATTGAGAGTTGGTGGAGGAGGAGTGATGTTAGGCCACACATATAATTCTGTCTAATTTCAAATATGCCAGGCTATTTTCAGCGAAATTTTTGTCATGATTTATCAGTCTCCGCTTCTAAAGTGGAACTCTCTATTCAACAGTTGTTTCGAAGTAAACCTTGAGCACCCAACCAATAATATAGATATTGATATATAGCCCATAACTGTGCTAGGAAATATTTTTTTGATATTGGAAAATATTCAGAAAAAAAAAAAGAGAGAAAGTCCTATTTTGACAAATTCTCTGCATAACTCTCACCAATCTTGTTACTTTTGAGAAATTTATTTTTCATTTTTTTGGGGAGATATAAATTACACAGATTACTGCAGGCCAATAACACTCTGTACTTACTGACAAAGAAAGGGATACACCCTCACCAGTTGACACTAGGAACAGTAGAATTATTGAGACTATTAGATACTATGTGTACAAAGAGAGACAAAGGGGATAGCTTACGATGTTAATTCAGAGTCTGCTCCTTCTAAAAGTTCAGCCTTCGGAGGGAGTCTCCCTGAAAACAGTGTAAAAAACATTCACACTATAGTGCACTGCAAAAAGGTAAAAGAATTCACAAACAACAATTTATGACAATTGTGAATGAAAAAAAAAACATCAAGAAGAATCCGTCCCACCCCTGTTAAGACAATTTGTATGAAACATATGTTTACGATATGCTTATCAGGTATATCATAGAATTTTAAAAATTGCCTAAAAGTCAATCATTTATTCTCAAAATACTGACTTAGTGCATTTATGATTTCATTATTTTCTGATGTCAGTTTAGAGAGGAAAATTGGGTGAAATTCATAAGGCTATATATACAGTCATGATTAATTATCTTTTCCTGGTTTTTTTTTTTCCATTGATATTTTTATGTATCGGTATGCCTTGTGACAGTGCCAATATTTTGATGCATTTAATCCTAGTTACATGCCTCAGAAATTGAGTGAAACATATGACATAACAAAACAACAACAAAACAACACTCCTTCGTGAAAATAAGTTGAAAATGTTAAAATGAGGAAATATTTTCTGGAAAAAAATTATGGATAGTGCAAAAAGGAACTTGGTACCTGTTTTCAATTCATTTTCACTTTTCAACAAAGTCAATAAGAGGAGGTCTTATTGATAACAAACATATCAGGAAGGAGAGGACAAAGTGAAAATGTGTTCAAACATTTGTGGTATAGAAGGAATCACTGTGCTGAAGTCAGAAAATGTGTAAAAAAACATATTAAGACATAGAAAATAAACACGCCAGGTCTCCTTACAATGCTATTTCTGATTCTGGTCCCTCCAAAAGTTCTGACTTTTGGGGCATCCATCCTGTAAATAGATCACCAGGCCAATGTACAATCCTGAGAAATACTTTTAGAACCTAGCTTGGTATTTACCTTTTTAGGCCAAAGATTACTGACTTTGAGATTTAAATACATGGAGGCAGCTCATATAAGTTTCTTTTGTAAAAAAAAATTGTTCTTTAAATATTTTCTTTTCATGCATTGTAATGTAACATATCTTACTGAATTTTTATATCATCCTTTTGTATTTTAGTTCCTTTCACTGTTTTATAGAAGTGTTTAACAATTATTAACAGTGTATTAAGAAAGTATTTTTCTTGTTTTTCTGATATATTAGATAAAAACAAAAACACAATTAATTATACATGTATCTGGAAATTACACTGTCAGATTAAGGACTAGCAACATCCAAACCTTCTCTAGGAATCAAACTTCAAAACGTAGCCTAGGAGAGACAAAATAATATACGCTTTCTATCCTGGTATAACTCTAGAATTATGTCATTGTTTGTTCACTGATCGGTATGACACAGACAAATCAAATTTTGTAGATGTGAAAACTGAAAATTTTCATTTTTGTTTTCTAGATTCATCACCCAAATGAATGACCAGGCTTATTTTAGGAACATGGTCAACCTGGAGTCACCTCAGACTGGTCTGTGTCTCATTTCCATCAAAACAAATATATTTAAATGCTTGATACACAAACCCTTAATCAAGACTGATAAATATTATCAAACCTATTGTTACTTTGAAACAGTTTACATATAAAACCAATACCAGTTTTAGAAGTATACAGATCTACAGGTGACATCAGGTGGGTGCGATTTCATATCTAAAACACAGCACTAAAAACTAAAGGCAGATCTGCTAACGGGAGTCACCACTAAATAACATTACAGTGTAACCTGAATGGTTCACCATGATTATTAAGCTAGTGAATAGTAATCTACTGCAAAGTGATCTAAGATATTCCGTATACAGAAGTGACTGTACTTAACTTTGTTCAAATTTCTAAAGAAACCTAACAAGGGCCTTACAGAGTAATTTCCCTGCCTGTGTTATAAGATAGACTACACAAAGCAATAGAGCTATATAAGTTGTCTATATGTAACAGAAGTCATTATTCCCTCTGCTAAGGTTCGAACCCTGAGCCCCTGGTTTACTAATTTGACGCTAAACCAATCTAGCTGAAGAGAAGTTCTCTCTAGCCAAGCCGTATTTTGTGTCTAGAATTTTACCAGGGTAACATACTCCCCTCTAGAAAATTACTCATCCTTGAGTTTCAGCGAATACAGCAATGCTTGTGAAGGGAACACAAATATTCTCGAGTCCCTCAATGGACACTTATGTAACAGATAGAGGTCATGATCAATTTCAATGCCCCTGTCAAGATTTGAACCTGTGACAAGCTAATGTGAGTTCTCTCCAGCCGAGCAGTATATTACGGCTGGTGTGTTACCATGGTTACATAGGTATTAATGTAAATATACCACACAATTATAACATGAGGGATACGGAGTATTGCAATGTTCTATTTTTGGTTCCAATTTACACATAACAAAACCCATATCAGAATGACTAGTTTGCGGTGTAAACATTCAATGTGTTTTGTTTATTTGAACAGCTAGAGTCATTTTTTTAAATCGGGATATCATTGCAGGATAATATTGCTGAACATTGTGTGATTGGTCGCAAAATGCTATCCAAAGCAATTAGGCTACAGCGTGTTAGCAAAGGACACAACTGCAGCCCAGTCTCAGCTGTGGTCTCAGCCTCATGAGAAATACTAAATGCTTTACGTAGGGAGCAAACCACATACCTTGAATCTTCACCTATGAAAGCATTGATTTTTGGCCCTACTACTTACAATATGCAGATCAACCCCGTATTTATTGTGTGTTCCCTGACTGCAGTACAGCAAACCATAGTGGAATATAAGCACTATTGATTATCCCTAAAAGTGGTCTATATATTGATACATTATGTATATAATTGTTTGTGCTGTTTATTCATCGCTATAAGTGACATCCAAAACTTACCTATGTGTTCATTGATAGATTCACTCTTAGCTAGAGCCATTAAGAACCCATAGAAGGAAACCCTTGGAACATTGAATAAAATCTCTTTCAGACAGTTTCCTGGCGGGGTGCTGAAAATAAAGAATAAAATCAGTTACAGTTTAAATTATTTCTTTGTCCAAAAGAATTATACCAAGAAAAATCCCATTTATTTCACATTAATTTTTTATTGATGAAATTTAGTATACTTAGGATACTTGTATCCAGGTGTCATTGTTTATTTGTTTTATATTCATAAACATTTTAGTGTGACTATCTGCAAAAGTTTACCTGAATGTAGATCGGTCACAAAGAGGATACACAGCCCTGAAATATTGCATGGCATCTACGCCGTCCGAGGGGTGGTGACTGTTTTGATGAACCTTAGTGTCCTCTGTCCCAGATGGTACCACAACAGGGTCCCGGGGGCTCCGCTGGGTCTGCATCAGGGACAGGTAAATCTCATGACACTTTTCCATGAACTCTACAATAAAAGAATCAAGTGTATTGAGGTTAAAATTAATGAAATCTCAATTTGTAAAATTTTAACAAGGAATTATTTTTTACTAGTGAAAACATGAAAGGAACAATTAACTGATAAAACTTTAAAGTTTGTTGTATCCAAATACAAACCTAAAACTGAATAAATCAGTATTAAACATTCAATTAATATAATTCATGATTATTTACTTTAAGAATTATAGGACATTGGATTCAAGACTGTTAAAGTGTAAGCAAAGTAATCATTTCTATAAAACTGTATCATAACACTACAAGATACAATTGGGATAAATGTATTTATCTTTGATGTCTTTAGTACAGAACTTTTTGTAAAATTGAACAAAAAACATAGCTTAGAGAGTGTGATGTGTTTAAAGAATACATTTCATAAACTAAAAATACTGGTAAATAACCCAAACCCTTGTCCATAAGCTTTTGCTATCTTTATAGTAAAGTGGATTTTTTTGCAAATGATTATTTGTACTAGGTATTATGAAAGCATTTTTACTGAATTCTGCATTTTTTTTAAAGAAAACTTTCTAGCCTCACCATGTACCATTTACTGGACTCAAACCTTCTGTTTGTATATTTGATTTTAGACCTGGTACACTGTATGTGCCTTTTAGTTGTTATTTCACACGAGGTTTGGCAATAAAGTAATATGTAAATGTAAAGTATAAATTTTAACCAAATACATTTAAATTTCAATATTGATTTTCCATAAGATATCCAATCTTCAAAAGACAACCATTAATTTACATTGAATTTACAATTGATATTTATTTAACAAAGCAACGTTCACCTGGAGTATTATAATCTTTGTTCAAATAGTAAGTTACCCTTATAAATCACTCTGCCACATTAACTATTAAACCTTTCAATCATCATCCTACCTTCGTAATAAAACTGTACTTGAAAAGCATAAATAAAATCAGCAAAGGAAATCAGGCAGTCTAGAGCATCATCCAGCAATATAATTCTGAAATCAATAATTCCAATACATGTACAGCATCTATGTAAAACATTCCGGAGAATGTTTGGTATGTATCACAGCTCCACACAAAAATAAAACAATTTTTCAAGAGTAGCATCAGTGGTGATCAAGAAAGATGGCAATATGCTCTTTAAACCATGCCATTTTTTTTTTTTTTTGAGGAAAAAGATTTTTTTTTTATAACACCCTTCTTCCTTTTCTGAAATCCTGGATCTACCATTGTGTAATATAAATTTAAAAAGGATCAAAGTTCATGATATTAAATAAATGTCCTGAAGAACAATTATCTTGATCATTTCTGAAAATATTTCTTGCCTTGCTTACATTTACTTTTCTATTACTTTTGATTACAGGACAAATTCTACCTACCTTGCTGTCTTCTGGACCGGTTCAAATGGAAAGTCTGGACATAACAGTGATAACAATGAATGGTACTCCTGTATACTCAGCAGATCTACAACAAACAACAGAGGACTACAGCAAAACAACAAAGTAGGTCTATACTGAAACAACAGAGGACTACAACAAAACAACAAAGTAGGTCTATATTGAAACAACAGAGGACTACAACAAAACAACAAAGTAGGTCTACATCGAAACAACAGAGGACTACAGCAAAACAACAAAGTAGGTCTATATTGAAACAACAGAGGACTACATCAAAACAACAAAGTAGGACTACAACAAACAACAGAGGACTACAGCAAAACAACAAAGTAGGACTACATCGAAACAACAGAGGACTACAACAAAACAACAAAGTAGGACTACATCGAAACAACAGAGGACTACAACAAAACAACAAAGTAGGACTACATCGAAACAACAGAGGACTACAACAAAACAACAAAGTAGGACTACATCGAAACAACAGAGGACTACAGCAAAACAACAAAGTGGGACTAAATCGAAACAACAAAAGACTACAACAAAACAGCAAAGTAGGACTACATCGAAACAACAGAGGACTACAACAGTGTCACATATATATTTAGTACACATAATTTGAATGACAATGTGATATATTTATACACAGATTGTATGTTCAATATTATATACGATATATTTAATGGCTTGTCTGCATAAATGTACTCCATAAATGAAATTTTACACACATATTTGTTATGCATTAGAGTCGTTTGTATACTATTTAAACTTGATTTAGTGAATGTGATATCAACATAAAACATTTTACATAAACAGTTTGTAAACATCAGGACTCTTACATCATAGAGGAAACAATTAGAAATGTTCTGATGGAAAAAGACTTGGGAAAATTCGAACATAAAATACAAATATTACATTTGTACTATTTTTTATCTATCTATATGGTGAATCATTACTTCTAACTGACCTCCTTTTTTACCAATCTGTCTGTAGCATTTCCAGAAAAGTCGAACAAATGATGCTCTGTTGTGTGGAGTGGCTTGTACAAAGTTGTACTCTCTAAACATGGTGTGGTTGCCATCTCGTAAACTGTTGAAGCTATTTGTTCAGAAAAAAATGCATTTGTTATAGCCAGTGAACAAAAAGACATATATTTGTTATAGCCAGTGAACAAAAAGACAAATATTTGTTAAAGTAACACGTAAGGATAAAAAGAATGTAATCATATTGTTTACTTACTATTCACTGAAAAATTTAACAGCATTTGTTTTGGGGTTTTCTTCCCTATGTTCCAACAGCTGTGCAACACTGTCCTCTAAATACACAAGGATGTTGTGTTTTGCTGAAACAATAAACAAATCCATCTAATCAGTTTAAATAACACAGTGATTTTAAGATTAACTACATGACTTTTACTTGACAAGGCAATGTGAACTCAAGACATCAGGGAAAATATGAATTTGAGTCAGGGCAAGAGATTCATATAAACGTATAATGTGACGTCACTTAGGGCGCTTCATATAACAGACTTAATATGAATTATTCTTACTTTCTATCAACATTTATTCTGATGTTCTACCAACTTTTACAAATCTGTCCATGAACGTGATTTACGTCATTTACAAAGGAAGTGAAATTCCTGCCTATGTTAGCATTCATAGGAAAATTGTAAAAGAAATTTCCATATGTAATAACATCTAAAGATTATGGTTTCTTTTCATAATTGTAGTTTGAATGTCATGCCTGAAATAAGGCAGAATTTTGACTCCTGACCAATACAAAAAGTTCATATATATATCAGAATGATATGGACTAAATTAAGACCAAGAAATATTAAATACAATATGTACCCAGGGAGTTACTCCAGAAACAGGTTGCAACAAGTAACAAATCCTTGGATTTAAATGTTCTGAAACTCAAATGAATCTTTTCAACTCTGAATATGATGCATTTGAGTTTACTTGCTCCAGAATTAGTGTCCCAACCAGGGATCAAACCCAGGCCAACATCATGATAATCGACTGGCTCTACCAACTGAGCCGAAGAAGCATGCGCTGTCAGCTGAGTGACAGATTTAACAATACACTGCTATATACAAGCTAGACCCAAAACTTGTCTCTTAAATGAAAAATCAACTGCGTTGCCATTACAAGTGATTCTTATGGCAGCCTGGGATAACCTGAGTGAACAGTATCAGGCTTTTCTGGTATACTGGACAGTACCGGGCGGTCCAAGCTGCTATAAGTATTTTTAAGTCAAACGGTAGAGAAAAAACACATTAGAATCGCTTAAAAGTAGCAAACTGTGAGGTCTGAAAACATTAGCGAGGCATATAAACTTATTTTGTGTTGACATGAACCTATTTTATAGGCTTTATGGGTAATCCAAGGCCAAAGGCATTTTCATCTGGTTTTATCAAATTTCTCTCTTTTTTATTGATATTTCTAAATTTTCAACTATTTCACTTAGAAGATTTGCAAGCACAGTGTAATTTAATTTCTGTGATACTAGTTTAAACTGTGATATTTTAAGGTATGTGAAATTCTTCTGTGATATCTTATATTTTATAATTAATAATTTTAAGAAATCCACAATAATTTATTACTGATTTTAATTGTTATGGAATTGCTTATGTAATATTTGTAATGTGTAATTTTATTATGCCTTTGACTGAATAAATAATAATAATAATAATAACCCATGATTTCTGGTAAATTGTGGGAATAATTGTTCAATTCACTGCATCCATGATGGATGTGTTTCTATCAATTCTATGAACATGTCCGTCTCTAAAATGAGCATAGTCAATAAAATGTTAATGTTAATAACAGCATAATAAATCGAATATTGACAAATTTATCATTTTTGAGACAAAAAAAAAAATTGGTCTATGTACATGCCACATCAACCCGCTCCTTTTACACAGCTGCGCGAGCAATGGAAATCTTACCCAAATACTTTTCGGCACTCATGGAAAATCTGTCTTCTGTTGTCATTTTAAAGCAGTTGATCTTAAATTCGTTCACGTGCTGTACTTTTATTTAACGATTAGTATGCTGTCGTACAGACATCAGCAAATGGCAAGAGAATATGATAAGCGTCCATGACACCTTCCTAGCAACCGAGAAATTAACATCAAGAACATTCATGGAAAAGAAAGTTTCCGTGCAAGAAATGCATAATGCTCATAAATTTGTATCAAAATGAACCAGAGTTCAGAAGTTACTCAGTTATACTGCAAGGTGTTGAGATTTTTCAAGAGAATGCAGAGAAAGAATATCACTCCCTATTTTCATTTCGGAGAAGTAGAGCTAGCACGGGTACCTGCTTCCCTTATTTTCGTATAACACAAATATTCACGCGTTTTATATAATTGTAAATGTTGTTACAAATATTGATGTTAAAGGTATCTTAAATAGACATAAGTGATATTTTCTGTTTTCATTATCATTTCATAGTTGTTGATATGATCTATTTACGAAAACATTTAATCCGATCAATGAAAAATTAACTGTTTATCCAGTTTGCCAAATGATTGTTGAAACGAAACGCACTGGTCGATATATCTAAAGATCGTCTGTTAAAGAACAACAAGATTTTCCATTTAGATAAAAAAAATAATAAAATTGAAACTGCTCTTTATAACCAGAACGAACGAATTTCAGCCCACTCTCACGTTTAGCTTTTCAGTGGATTGGTAATGTATATAAATCCTTTCTTTGATAACATATCTTATTCCTGTACGACTCTAGCGATAAGAACAATTTCATTTATTTTCTCTTCATTCCCATCAAATTGATGTTTATATATAAATACATATATATACATATGTATACATAATTTCTTTAAGATATTTTTTCTGACTGACCATTTACTTCAGTTATAACTGAAAAGTCTTCTAAATACTGTGATATACAAAGTCTATCAGAGGCGAGCGGACGGATTGACAGAAGAACAGCTACACGGACGGACAAAAAGTTACACGACGTACAAGCCTCTATATAGTATTTTCCCAAAACTTTACTTTTCCTGTAGAATTTCCTTGTTTGTGAGTGTGTGGGTGAAACCACGGACTTATATACACATATAAGTCCGTGGTGAAACTGAAATGTTGTGTGTTTACAAAGATGTTATCGTGTTCATCATATCGATGTCTCACTTGTCAGTTCGATTTTCTGAGAACGATATCATTGATCCTGATGTTACAGATGATGATGCTGAAGATGATGAATACTTTTATTGCATTGGGAATGAGCGTGTGTGAAAGCTGTAACTTTGTGTATATTGATGTAAAATCTTCAAATATATCATTATAATATATATAAAGTTCCATAGCAAATTCATCTAAATAAAACATCAGATATCTTGGTGAAAAGCGGGTAAGATTTAAAACGTTTACCGGAATTGAATGATCATCATTATCCGATTAGTTTGCCGAATCAGGATCACATGAAGACACTGTCCACTGATTGCACATATGAGACACACTTTCATAGGACGTGGGTTCGATTCCCGGGAAGGACGTGAACAGGTTTAGGGTCACCTTCCCGACCACATGGATTTTTCCCCGGGTACTCTGGTTTCATCCCAAAGTAAAACCGCTTGCATGCTCCTATGCGGGCCAACAAGAGTGATTAATATAAGTTCGATAAAAATGTTGCTGTAAAATAAATAAAGTTTAAGACAGGGAGATAACTCCAACAACATCCGAATCTGCCAACCATTGATTACTTCTCTCGTACATAAATAGATCTAAGCTTGCTCTATTAGCTTGCTCTATACTATCTACAGATATAGAAACTAATCATTTATGGTAAAGATACGGACCTTCCTCGTTTATATCGGATTAACAGAGCTTTGCTGCTGTCTCGTCTAGTTGTTCAACCAAACCTTTATCAAAGCTTTTTCATATGTTTCATTAGACTATCAAATCTTGGTTACAATTTTATAGTGATATGTTTTTCTCAAGAAGTTAAACCACGATGAGGTTTGTTTTATATATATATATATATATATATATATATATATATATATATATATATATACGTGTGAATTATACTGGAGCGTAAAAGTAAAAGCGGAAAGTACGTCTACAACCAAAGGAAATATACATACGATGAAAGGAGACAGATTTATATAAGTGTTCATCACTTGTTTCTGAATCCTTTTCTTTTGTATACCTAAGTACTCTGTAATATGTTATGTAATAAGAAAGAAATAAAGTTTAAACTAAACTAAATCGTAAAAAAGATCAAATTTCTAATTGACCACATTTCATTGATTTTAGCGATACGATCTTTCAAAACACTGTTGGTATACCTATGGGGACAAACTATGCTCCTCCAAAGACTGACTTGATTTTGTTTAACACGAGACGGAGAGCTTATCAAAACAGGTCACAAAACCTTTCCAAGTTCTTCAATTTTATTTTCAGAAATTCTTTTTTTTTTTTTGTAACTTTTTATTTTTTTTCTTCAAACAGGATACATTGCAAGACAATAAACATACCACACTTTCTCATTTATATTTTATATCCCATTCAGCTTTTCTTCTTTCAGTCACTCATCATACACCTACATTCATACATCACCTTCACTTCATCTATACAACACTCCCAACTGGTATATTAATTATATAGGATATATTCATTCATCCTTCACCTATACTACATTCACTCATATTTCACCTGCACCTCATTTATATAACAAAAACACTCATAAAAGATTGATTCACTTATATTTCATACACTACATTTTCACTAATTCTTCATATATATATCATACACCTATACAAACTCCCCTGAAGGATGTGTTCACTCATTTTTCCACTATGTATACATATTCACTCATTCTTTACCTATACTACACCTATACAAACATTCTTACATGTTATAATCACTCATACTTCACCCACTCAAAAAACACAGAACAAATACCCATAACTACATAAAAGGAATAGATCTCAGAAGGAGAAAGAGAGAGAGAGAGAGAGAGAAAGAGAGAGAGAGAGAGAAATTAAGAGGGAGCTGCCTGGGAATGTATAACCACATAATAGAAACACAAATTTATGATGCTAAGTTATCTCAATTAACTTTTCCCATTTCCTCCATACTTTTTTAAACTCATCCAGTACCAGATTCCCTTTTCCAGTAGCTATGAATTTCTGGACACAATATGTTTCCTTAATTAGATTCTTGAGACCATGAATAGATAATTCCGTTTTTAAACATCTAGAGCTATAGATGTACTGTTTCATTATCAATAGTATTGTGTTGTCCACTACAAAATTGATATTGTTCCTATTCAATATTCGAAATAAAAAGGATTCTTTATTATATGCAAAAGGTATTGAAAGACTGTCCACAAGATATTCAAAATTCTGTAAAAATCTTTGTACTTTTTCACATTCCCATAGGGCATGAATAATTGTTTCTGGTTCTGTTCCACACTGGAAAGAGGAAGAACTATTTTCTATCCCTATTTTTGATAGGTAAGTGTTAGTAGTTAAAATATGCTGATTTATCCTATACTATAACCAGTGTAATTTGGTATTTTTTGTTACTTTAAAAGGCAATTTGTATATTTGTTTCCATTTTTCGTCACTGTATTCAAACATGGTGTTCCATTTTTTTTTACCTGTAGACAATGTATTGTTGTGACATAATAAAAGATAAAAATCTTTTGATCCTTTTTTATTTTTAAAGTAAATCTCAAAAGCCTTTGGTAAATATGGGTATACAACTGGATGATTGGTAATATCTGTGTCAGAAATAAGCTTTTTAACAATATGAATTACCCTCTGATATTCTAAAAAATTAGTTGGCACGCCATATCTGGTTTCAGAAATTCTTTGATAAGTTCCATAGTACATTACCGACTATAATAGGAAATCAAGAACAGGACAAAATTTTCTACCCGAACAAGAACAGCTCTCTACAAAGCAACATAAAATTTAATTGGGAATTTTCGATATCATCTGGCAATGTTTTTCATGGCAATATCTGTACCGCTAATAGGAACAACGAATGATACAGAATTAGGAAATTAATGGACAAATTTTGCAAAAATCGAAATAATAAAAAGGAATGTACAGCGTTTTTATTCGAGTATGTATAAATGTTATGTTATGTTCGTGAATTTCTTACGGTTTATATTTCACTCTTTCGTGAGAAATTCCTTTCATATTCTAAAACTCGATCATCAACTCGTTTCCATTCATGAAATATTGATGAACAACCGAAACTTTTATCAAATACCATCTTCGATACTCCAGGGGTTCGATCCCCTTCGCTCTATGCACCCCTGGAATATTTCATGGCAAAATTGAAGGTTCCATGTGCGACACATTGTGGACAAGGCGAAAAGACCAGTTTGATCTTTTGATGTACAACAAACGAACCTCGAAGTCGCGTAACGGTACATTCTAATGGCTTTGAAGTGAATTGGATAAAGTTGACTTGTAATCATCAAAAGAGCGAATCATCCTGTGATTGATAAAGTTTTTTTTTCTCCGGAGACCAATCAAATTACTTTGCTTAGGCCTTCAATTTTGCCATGACATGTTTCGGGGGTGCAAAGAGAGCGAAAGTGATCGTAACCCCTGAAGTTTCGAAGATAGTCAAATATTTGCATATCTTTTTTATACATGAAGATCCCTAGTGATCCCAACTGTTATCAATCAATCTAGATAGCTCGCAAATAAATCTGTTTCCGCTCCGGAAGGAAAATTCTATGGTTTTAAAGTAAGGAACTAAGTGAAACTCAGGATTATTTTTACTTAATAGATATATGTTTTGTGAATAAAACTAAGGCAACGATGTCGGATCATCGACCAAGGTCTTTCATAACTTATCAGATTCGTTATTCGACGACTGACCTGTTAATCACAAAATCACTTGATTTTTAAAGTAGAGATGTTTTAAGCTATAGGGGAGACCGGGGCACAGTGAATCATGGGGCACAGTGAATCATTGATCATTTATAGAATTTGGTTTGTGTTAATAGACTGATGATATCATCAGTATATGTGTGTTGAAGAGTTCCTGCCAAATTGTCTTGCAGTATCAGTTATCTGGAGCCAGAAAAAAAATGCAAGGTAAAGTATGTTTTACACCCCCAAAAGTAAATTTTTGTGCTCTCAATCCCTTTGAGATACTCACTTGATAGTCAGTTGAAAGACACTCAATCATATTTCATTAGTTACATGGATGTTTGGAGATGTTGACGAAGTTGTGTTATCCATGTGATACTAAGCCTTGTCA